TCTTCTGAAATCTAGGTGGAAGCCTTCCTGATTCCACAACTCATTTTGCATGCACCTAAAACCAGCACAGTGTGGATGATGCCGAGGTCTGCTGTGAACTGGAGCAGTAGCCAGGCTTCCTTTACTTTTGACTGTAAGGGTCAAGTGCCTATGAACCAAATTCCTAAAAATAACCTCCTAAGGTTGCTGTCATCAGGCAGCATAGCTCTCTGGAGCCCTATTCTCAAAGAGGTCTTTCACTTTTACATTTTTGAGGCTGCAAAGGGTAGAGCCCTACTGGTTCTTGTGATCCTTCAGGCTATTATTTCTATTGTTCTCTACCTTCTCAGCCAATCAAGTTCTCCTCTGCTCTATGTTGGCAGTCCACTGTTTTATTGGTACTCCTTTTCTGGCCAAACGCACAATGTTTTGAATCATTCTGCTGGGCTCTATGCTCTTGATTCTCAACATAAATCTGGCCAAAACCTGAGAACAGTAGCCATACCACTGCCCCAACATAGAATGCTTTAAAATTTCTTCAGCAAAATTAATTAGTCTGCTGCCCTTAATATCAGTCTCAGGGAAATTATCTGGACAACAGCAAAAAGTTAAAAAACTTTCTTTCAAGGTGTAGCACACATGTTCTAGAGTCCAACAGCCAATACAGTCCTTCCCAGTAGAAACGTCTTGAGTCTGGTCTTTACTAACATTTCTAGCAGTACTCTGGTTTTCTGAAATATGACCATAATCTCCTATCAAGTACAGCCTCTAGGAAGTATTCCAGAAGTGCTTTTTCATCTGACATCTCTGAACCTTTCTAAACAAGCCAGTCCCAAAGTCTCGCAAACCACATGGTCAGATATAATTACAGCAACAACCTCACTTTTCTGTTATCAAATTCTGCGTCCATGACTCTTCTCATTGCTGACACAAAGAGTCCACCATCCAAAATTAAAGGAGGAAAGGCTTATTTGGCTCAAAGTTCTTAGAGGTTTTAGTCCATAGTTGGCTGGCTCCAAAGCAGGGTGGCATGGCAAAGGGGCATTGCAGAGGAGAAATAGTCCATGGCAAAGCAGGGCAGGCAGAAGGCAGAAAGCAGCAAGTCTAAATGACTTTAACAGCTTCTTTCTGTGCCTTTAATATTGTTTGGCTACCAGGCTGAGGACAGGTGCCAAGCCAGTGGACTGACTTAATAATCACACATCCTTAAGTCCAGCATCACACACTCTGTATTCAGCCACTTCTGAAAAAAAACCCTACCCATTCCCACCTGACACTTTGGTGGAACATCTAGACACAAACCATAGCAGTATCTTATTCCCAGAAGACAGAAGTTAAATAGTAGGTTCATTTCATTCATCAATAGGAGGCTTTTTTTTAATATCTAGAGAAATAGGAATTTACAACTACAAGAAATCAGAGCTGACTTATCTCTCCACTTAATTTTCAGTTAATAATAATATTTAATTCTGCTATTGTAATACCTAGTATTTAAAACTCTTTCGGTGTCCTCCCTATAATCAGGCTAACATATTAATTAGCTTGCAGGCTGTGGTGGCCATTGGCCAGGTTTCTGACCTGGGAAACACAGGGGCCTCTGTTTAGCACACTATGAAGTTTGGGATTAACATAGCTACTGGAGAGGATTGTGATGTTTTTTTCATTTATGATATAACTTTGACTCTCTGAAGTGAATACAATCAACATTTTCACCTTTACTTGAGTTTCAGAGTTATTGGGGATACTATTAAATAAAATGGAAGAGTCAGTTCATGTAGAAAGAACCAAAGGTTTTAATTTAGTTACTTTACGTACCAAATTACTGCTTAACTAATTATACCCTTTTTAAAATAAATGTTACTTAGATATTTACTTATAAAAGAAACAAAATATACCAAAAAGTGAGTGCCATCAGTTGGCATAGAAATAATTAGAAATCACATAATGACAATAATGTGATATCACTTTTTGTTGTTTCAGATGCAGGCAACTGTGGTTCAAACATATGAAAGAAAAGGCTCTAGAAATATATTCAACAATTTTTATTACAGTGTATAATTAGAGTTGTCCTATTGTATTACTAGTTGTTATTGATCTCTTATGGTACATAGTGTATAAATTAAACTTTGTCATAGACATATATGTATAAAAAACATAGGACTGGTTTCAGGAACCCGAAGGGAGTCTTCAAATGTATCCCCTATAGAAGGTGATCACTGTACATACTGACTTTATTTAGGGGAGAGAAAGTGTTCTTTAAAAAGAGAAACATGATATGATTCTATTTCTTACTTTAGAACAGTTTGGCCTACTGCTAAATGCTAAAGTGCTACTTGTTATGTTAACATTTACAAAATATTAAAAGGTATAAGATCATCTTGTAAAAATCTTATGTTTTAGGTAAGAAAATGCATGCTTCAGGATAGTAGGTTGTTTGATCAAGGTGATGGTTGATGTACAAAATAAGACTATCTTTAATCGTTTAGCACTACTGGAAGTATTTAAAGTTTTTTTTCAAAGAAGTTTCACTTTGGGGAAAAATGAATTTAAATTTATTAAGGTCAGCTCTAGAGTTCCTTTATCTCAACAAATTTCTTAAGTAAGTATAATGTTTATATGTCACTGAGATAGTTTTTTTTGTTCATAAAATTTATAATTTTAGTCATTTAATATATAGACATACTTTATGCTGCCTACAGTCAAAATGTCTTAGGTACAAAGAGAGTATTCTTCACTTATTAAATAGCTGTAAGAAAAATAAGATGAAAGAGGGAAAAAAAACAAGTTTTTAGAGAAGAAAATGTACTGTACAAGAAAATGTCTCTGATAGGTAAATATTCTAGCTGTTGAAGTAATGTCAGTGTCTCATTCATGCATCAAGTATTCATCAGGCTCTGAGATTGCAGGGAGCTTTGTGCTTGGCACATAGAAATATTCAACAAATGGATGAATCACATGCACTGGGAATAGCTCTTCAGTCCCCCACCACTGAACACAATTTCCCCATTGCTCCAAATATCAAGTGTTCAAGACTTTAGAACTCAGGGAGAGAGGAATAAGCACTTGGAAGAGGAGGCAGAGAGAGTGAAAAGAAGTAGAGATAAATGCAAATAAACACCAGGGAGTAGTTGTGCTTGCTTCAAAAAGTCAGTTATAATAAATTATTTCTTTAAAAAAGCACTAATATTTTACCTTTCATTTAAAATCCTGCACATTTATATATCCTGATGCAGAATAATCATTTAAAACATGTCAAAACAAAAATGATCAAAATTAATTTTATTTTTCATTTATATAATTATGAGAGACTATGACTCAACAACCATTTTTAAACTTGGCTAAAAGAAGAATTGCTTTTGGTTTTTAAAGAATTGTTACAAATAAGTGAAATGGAATTGTTCCCAAGTTTGCTACAGACAAGACATCATGGTTTGGAAAGCAAATGTCTTTCAAGAGTTTGAGAAATCTTAATAGTATCATTGACTGTCGAATTTTAGCATTTGGCATTCTCTTTCACACAAGGGCTGGGAAAAAATTTATGTAGAGAACTAACTCTTGAGAGGATATACCCAGAATACTTCTCAACTGAATAAGTGCAGATGTACTCATAGAACAAAGCCTTAAAAATAAACTCAGCTGGGAATTAGACAATATTTTCAATATAATTATTGTATTTATGGCAAGGGATAAATATCAGAATGCGTCCTTCCTAAAAATAATTAGTGAATAGATTCAAATTTTCCATAGCACGCATGTAAGTGAAAATTATCTGGGTCCCAAGGTATGGACTATGAAAGGGAAAACCTTTTCTGGAGGTGGGCAGGGTATACTATTGGCCTCCTCCTAGGAGTGAGTCTTCCTCACTGAACTTCCTCATCAATCATACTGTACAAAATGACTTACTGACTATTGTATCTGATATAATTGTACTTTGCCCCTACTAGTTCATTGAGTCATGGTCCTGCTACCATACCAACTGACTTCTCTGTAACCTCTTATGAATGAAAGGAAAGACATACTTGAATAATACTGGACCAGTGTCTCCCCTCCTGCTGTCTCATGAGAATGATTTCCTTCCTGGGTCACAAATCTATGTGGAATGCTAATTAAACATTTACAAAGTGTGTTAAAAATCTCTCTCAATGCTAAAATGAAAATAGTAACCCATATTCATTTGAAATTTTTACCCTGCAATATGAAGGGCCTCTAAGTTTAATTCAAATAAATTCAGTAGCTTTAGATAAAGAAAAAAAAATTGAGCCCCTACTATATAAAAACCTCTGGGCCAAATGTGAACATAAATACAAACTTCGTAGGAACCAAAGATCTGTCAGAAATTGAAAGATCTTACATTATTTAATTCATACCATTTCCCTCTGGGCTTAAAGATGAAATTAGATGCAAAATACCCACAATTTTAATATTAAGGTTTTATATTGCTCTTTAACATACAATATTATATTTAGTTATATAAAGATACAGCATATTTTCTCTATATCAGCACATTAATTAACATTATATGCATTAAGTTTTTTAAATTATTTTAGCATGAAGTTTCCATTCATTGCACCCCAAAATAAAAATAGCACCACAGCTTTTTGCAGTTCCCTAAACACAGTTAGGGAATAATGATCATATGCTAAAAAATGTAAAATGCAATTTGCGCTGTGCCCCATTTACTACAAAATCACTACGAACAATGCATTTTGTACAGTATATTGCCCCAGGGAAACTGGATCAGCATCAGGAATAAATAAAGAACATTGCATTTGAAATCAGCTAATTCTGCTTCAGTGCTTTTAAAAAGTATTTGTTATGATATTACTTCCTGTCAAGCACATAATGTGATATTTTCCTCAATAAAACTATACAGTTGCTGTAATTTCAGCATCCCTCATTTTCCACTTTTTAAGCACTAAATATTTAAACAGTGCCTCTTCTTGCCTAAAGTATAGTGATGATCCATGCAGGAACCTACTATGTCACCTGACACACACAGTGGCAGCTGTGGAGGTTCTTACCTGCCCGCAAGCCAGGCCCATTCCTCTTTCTCCCATGCCATGTGGACATGACAAATTTAACTCCAGGGCATCCGCTCTGGAAGCCTTTAAGACAGGGAAGGAAAGTGAAGAAACAGCAAAACTTTATTTGTATATCAAATTTTAATGATTCTGTTTACCATACTACAGCTATCTGTGCTTTATATTCTAACTTTATCAAATTAAGGTATGTATAATCATAAAATATATATTGAATGCTTCAACAGTACCTCTCACTGCTCTCTATGCTTAATATTTGTTAATATCTATATCTTAATATTTGTTATTCTCGCAATCCTTGTATTACTCTGCCTATTTGACAGAGAAAAGATCCAAAGCCTATGAGGTGAAGTGGCAAGTCTCAGTGTTAAGTGACACAGTCGAGATTTTAACTTAGATCTATTTGACACTAGATTTATTTTTTCCTAAATAGTTTAAATTTTTATAGTAACAAATCTTACTAATTCTGCATACCTGATATTGGGAGGAGGAATACATAAAAGTAGTATTAAGCTAGAATGAAAGATTAAATTAAAAATGTTTTTAACTGAAAACCCTTTTATCATGTTTAAAAATAGTCTGTACTAAGAAACATGGGCTACCGATAGTTTTGTTTGATTTTAATGACTGAACAGGAATCCTTCTTGTTTAAATCATTAATAAATCATCATAATCAATTAGTAAACACATGAATTATGTCAAAATGAACCAAAGAGTTTTTAGTACTTTGAGAAATCTTAGAGTTATTGGAAAGTCTTATGTAAGCCATTTTAAGAACCAGGGTGGATGTAGCTCAGTGGTTTTGCACCTGCCTGGTGCGAAAAAGGTCCTGGGTTCCATTCCCAGTACTAGCAAAAAACAAAACTAAAGAACAAAATTTTAAAAAAAATTTAAGAATGAACAAAATATTTTTAAAGTTTAATGTAGCAATTTGAAGAATGTAGAAATAACAAATTCAAGTTTTATACTCTCTTGTCTAACTTCGAGAATATCTCCAGTGCCACAATTTCTTTTTAAGTAAGGTCAACCAAAAGCTTGAAACAATTTTCAATATTATTATAACATGCCCATTGCCTCCTGCAAAAACTTTTAAAAATTCACCATTCTGTTAGTATACTAGACCTTTTTAGGCCAAAAGTTGTACCTTCAAAGTTTCTCTTTTCTTCGAATTGTACAAAATTTTAGCCTATTTTTTCCCTGCTTTATGAATTTTAAATAGGATCTCAACAATCTTACAAACACCAGTTAGCTGCTTTTAAGTCCACTTTCTTACTTGTCTTTACTCATTAGTGAGTCCACTTTTTCTTCTGCACCTTTCTCAAAGTCCAGTTGGCCATCCTAGCCTGTTTTCTACCATAGCCTCATCATGGCTTTTTGATATTCTGACCAATTAAAAAATGCTCCATGTTACTTGAAAGTTACTTTAAATTACACAACATTCTTTCTACTGGCTTGGTAGTGAGTGTGGCCAAAGCATAGACTGATGAGTTCTAATCCTAGGTCTGCTGCTAAGGAATGAGGGATGCTTTGGACCAGTCAGTTAACCATCCTCATCTCCTGCTGTAAGTGGGAACTGCAAATATGACATGTCTCAACATTATGTCGTGTCGGAATTGCCAGATTCACTAAGATGATACATTGGAATTATGTGCAATATTTCATTTTTCTCATTAATTTTTAGTTACTGCAAATATTGCAGAAATTCCCTGGATTTCTTATTTAGTTGAAAAAGATACAGTTAATAGAAAATAAAATCAATAACATTTAGGATTACTGAAAATTTAGGTGACCTTTGTATGTACAGTTACATTATGCATATTTCTCTGAAAATTTATAGTTTATAAATTTTATACAAGTAATAATTAGTTATCATAGTAGATAAAATAACTAACATCAATTTGCTAGAATATTTTATTTGGTATATATTATCTTACTTCATCCTCAACAAACCTCTAATAGGAAGGATATATCATTATTCCTATTTTATAACTGATAAAACCAAGGCATAAAAAGAATAAGTGATTTATCAACATCCTACAACCAGTTATTGGGAGTAAGGTGGTGAACGCATTTTGAAAAAGAAAAAAAGCCTGCATTCTTACTCACTAATGCAACTTAGAAAGAACTTATTGCATGTTTGGGATTTTGCAATATTTTAAGAAAAATACAGCAGTTGGACATCCTTATGGCTTCTGAAATTAAAGCAAAAACTAAAATCTTTCAGCACCATCTGTCCATTACAAGGTATTATTAGGGAATAATTATTAAAAAGTTCTCACTATTTTATATACACACCAACACATATTGACCAGCTCTGCACAGGCTTTTGAAATGGGCACCTAACCCTCAAAAATTGAGAGAGTAGAACACACAGCGACACCAAGTGAGGGGGAACATTCACTGGGCCTCCGCTTCAATACACCTGACAGGATGGACACCACTTTAAAAGGCAATTAATTCCACTCACAAGCAACTATAGCCATTCAAAAAGTAAACTAGGCATGTCTTCTGCTTCACGTTAGTCACAGGCTTTTTAGATTAGATATTTAGCTCAAAATTTATTCTATCTTTCCTAATAATTGTAAAATAAAGTAACCTTGTGAAGGTAGCAGAAGAGGAAATGTTCTCTTAAATTGAAAGCTTGACTTCATTACAGTGTCCACTATATGTTTCTAAGTGGGAGCCCCTGAAGCACCAGTGCTCCTAAGAAATTATAGCCTTTTCCTCCAATTCGGGGTTTAGATGCAGAATCAGGCCATATGGTATCGGGTCTGACTCCCCTATCAGCTGTTAGAGTAGACAGAACACACAGAGAAGGCAGGTCCCATGAGAGGAAGCAGCCAGTAGATGCATTTTTTACTCTTCTTCTCCTCTAAACTCCTGTAAGACAGCATGGCACCCCTGCCCCACATGACTGAACAGTCTGCTTTATTTACTTTTAAAGTTGGTACAGCCTCTGTCATGTACCATTTTGTATTTACTTTCTCTTCTTTCCTCTCTGATTTTCCTTTTTTGGGACACATATACTGCTGTAGAATTATATGCTTCAATGACGCTTTCTCTTAACTGTGACTCTGTTTTTGTAGGCTAATGCATATTAAAAAAGACATGGATTCAACATCTATTAAAATCTATGCAAAAATTTTTTAAATCCAGTATTTTGTTTTTTTGTTTGTCTGTATGTTTGGGGGTTTTTTTGGTACCAGGGATCGAACTGAGGTCCTTGCACTTGCAAGGCAGGTGGTGGAACCACTGAGCTAAATCCCTAGCCTTAAAATCCAGTATTTTAAGCTTTCAGTATAGCTCAGTTTGGTATGTATCCATCTCACTACTTTTAAACTATGAACATGTCCACATTGCAGAGGCTATCTCTTATTCACTTTTGTTTTAGATAGCAAATAATATTCACGCATACATTTTTTTTTTTTTTTTTGTGAAAACTGCAATAGGGTAGCAACGTCACAAAAGACTAGAAGAGCACAGGATCAGACGTCTACACCTAGAAAACTGAGCACAGTCCAAATATACTATAGATATGTGCAAAAGTTTCACCAAGATGTGGAAATTTTCTAGGCTTGGCTTCTTTTTTCATGGAAATACGTTAATTCAAATCCGGCTGAGGGCCATATAAGACATTACAAACATGCAAACTCTAGGGCTAGAGTACATAGGAAGGCTCCCTTCGGCATCACTTCATTTGCAGGATAAAACACAACTTTCTCAAGGATATGGGTATTACAAAGAAGATGAACTAGTTGTAATGACAAACAGTACTTAGCTTAACAATGTATTTTTAAATATATCTAATTTTACTTTTTTAACTACTCAAGCATTCTTAAATGTCTACTCAAAATAAGAAAATAACATGACAGACTCTGGGGAAATAAACACTAATAATCCCTCCCGTGCAAATTTTAATTCTAACAGAATTTCTCAGTCTTTATTTTTTCATGATTCTGTAAAGCTGTATCTGTTCTGCTGCTATACATAAGTCATTTCTGTTTTCTGATTTAGTAATAAAAATCTCATGACAAGTTTCCTTAAGTCCCTATTTTATAATTCAAAACTTATTCTACCATAAGAAGAACTTCATGAACTTAAAGTATACACATCACATCAAGTCATTTTCTACACTTAAAACTCTAGGCACCCTAGTGTGCTTGCGTGGTATCTGATCTCTCACGTCCTCTTACCATCACTCCCCCCAAAATAGATGTATTAGTGCAGTACAGTAACTGTGGCTTGCGTACATTTTTGAGCTGTGATGGAATCACGCTCCCAATGCTGTCCTCCAAGGGGATGTGAAGGCCTGAGGAGGTTTGCTTCGTGGCATATCCCTAGGCTAGTCCAGATTTAAGGTTACAGGGAATTGTTAAAAATTGGCACTATGTACAGATTGACCTTCTCGATATGTAGGTTGCAATCCTGTGCAGAGATTTCACCAGCTGTTTTTACTAAATAGAAGCACACACTTTCCTCTCTCCCTCTCTTTTCTTTCTTTTTCTTTTCTCCTTCCTCCCTTCGTGCTCCCTCCCTCCCTCCCCTCCCTCTTCCTTTCTTCTCCCTTTATTTATTTATGCTTCAATGTATTTAGAAGTTGATGTAAATAAAACTGCAATTAAAGAAAGAAATGGAATGTAAAAAGTATATTATCTAGTATGCTCTAATTAAAGGCTTCTGACATTTTGTAAGTAAATTCACCTATTTAAAAATTAATGTCCATTACTGAAGAAAATAATTTTTTAAAGTATTTTATTCTTTCAGAAAGGCAGAGAAGCATGCAGTATGATAAAGCCATTCATCATAGTCAGCTTAAAATTGGCAAAGCTCATACGAAGCCCAGGCTCTGTGGAAGATTTCATGGTCAATTAGGTAAATACATGTATAAAATGGACCCAGCACAGAAGATCATGAAACCAATTACTGATCATGTTTAATTTCACCCCCTAAGTCCCAGAAGTAATTTTTCCTCTTACCATTTTAAAATACCCAAATAAAATGTACAATTAACATTTTTAACACTACAGAGAGCCTCACAATATTTTATAATGTGAAGTCAATTATTTTGAAAGTCTTTTTAGGTTCAGTCTTCTGCATTACTGAGAGCTTTTCAAAAAACTCCAGCTAACAGTACGTAGACTAGGTTCCAAGGCAGAATGATGAACATAAGTTTACAATTTTTATTATGTATTTTTCTACTTGAAATACAAAATTGAGGCACGTGGTTAGTTGTCTGCATTTGTGCATGATTCAATTTATATTATGGAAAACTTGCTGACTAGTGTTTCATTCAGAAGCATTCTGTCCTACCATTTTATGCATGTCTGTATTCAAACAAGAACGGTATTAAATGAACCTTTTATATTTTAAATATTCAAGAGTTTTATATTCAAAATTTCTTCTCTTACTGTCAAACTAGTTTGCCTAAAGGCAAGGTAAGATCAAGTTACACTCTCAAAGGCAGAATTAAATTTTATCATGACATCCATCATAATATACAGTTTGCTTAATATGCAAATACAGAGTATCTCGATTCAGAGAATAAAGGACTTGTAGGTAGTATATGAAATCCAAGGGATTACTTTTATAGGATAGATTCCTTTTAAATTTACATTTCCATCATTTTAATGAAAACATAAGATAAACAAATTATAATAGAAATGTTTTAAGTTACATTTTAAATTTCATTCCTTCTGCAGTATTTTTCATGGCAGCTCTTTACTTAAAACTAATAAAAACAGGAGAGGAGAAATAAAATAAATGTACACTGAAGAAACCATTACCTCAGCCATTTTGGAGAGCTCCATCCAGTCATTTTTGTTGTAACTGCACATGATACTAGCAATCACAATCTTTAAAAAGAAAAAAGAGAAAACACAAGTTTAGGTAGGTATACTGTTGTGCATCAAGATATATTAATATTTGCATACTTGTAGGAATTAGATCTTAAATGTACCCTAAGAGCTCATACGATGACAGCTTCATGCTGTTACTACCCAAGCCGATGGTGCTGCTGGGAGTGGTTGGGCTCAGATCTTTGGACAGAGTGACAGAAAGAAATACTCACACGTGCGTGTACACACATATACACACACATTCATAATACAATGGTAAATTATGTTATAAAAATTTGTTTTTCTGTTGAAAACTAATTACTAAAAAGAGTAGGGAACTACAGTAGAGCACGGGGTGATGCTTAGAGCTTCAGAGACTTTTTCATCTACCATTTGAAAACTTGAGCAAGTTATTTAACTTTTCTGATAATCAGTATTCTTATTTATAAAATGGAGAAAATAATACTAATTTTTCCAACCTCAGAAAGTGTAAGTGGTAATTATGTAAATGTGTATAGAAATTTGCGTATGTGAAAATGTTATCTAAATTCTATAATACAATAAAATGTTTATGAACATAATGACTGGTGTAGCAAATAGTTTGAAGCTATATCTTCATAATGCATTGCTTTTTAAAATTGTATTAAATTTTTATTTAATCACAGTCTTATAGTAGTCCTGTAAAGGCCATATGGGTTAATAGTTATTGACACCGGCTCTGCAGTGAGAATGTCAAGATTGAAACTTTTACTCTACCACTTACTGAGTAGCCCTGGGCAAAGGACTGAGTTCCTGGATTAGAAAAATATGGAGAAGTCATCTATACTGTCACCTAGAAAATCCATTTTATTACCTAGAAAAGTAATAAAAGAAATTTCTAAGACTCGTAGAGATCTTATGATATGTTAGGCACTCTTTTATTATATTGACTTACTTAATCATCCCCAACGTCCTTCTCCCCATTTTGCAGATGAAGATGTCTAGGTCCTCCAGTGTAAAATCATTCTGCTCTGAAGGAGAACAGGACTCAGACCCACGCAAAGTGACAAGAGTCTGTGCTTTTTACCACTAGCTTCTGCTGGCTTAAAGTAAGTACTCACAAGACAGTGATTATTTTTTATTATTTGTTTTCAATTGTGAGATTGAGACACCAAGAATTTATGCCAAACCCAAAGTCACAGTCTCATGATAAAGTCCACTAAGTGTCACTGCGTTCTCACAGTGTACAGATTTTTTTGTATGCATACATACATAATATATATGACATAATATAAATGTCAGAGGAATGTTTTCATTACTGAGAGATGGGTAGAAGCTGTGTTTATTAGAGAGTTCTGAAAACTGGCAAGAGAAGTCTATCTTTTAAGTTGGGTTAGTTTGTTCTCTCCTGGAAGCCTAGGCTCTGTGGACGTGGGAAGCTCTATATCATTCATCATTTTGTCTAGAATCACTACTGTGGTGTTTGGCACAAGGCAAGGACTGACCAAATGACTACATAAATAAGGTTGCTAAAGATTTAGAAGCAGCGGGTTGCTTTATCAGCTTACACTTTTAATAAAATTAAAGAGAAATTAACAAGCAAGGGAAGGGTAAAGTAAACAACTGGTGAAAAATGCTGGCAAATTAATACATGAGTTGAAGTGAGGAGTGACCACAGTTAAGGTGGTGTTCTTGGTGATACAGGACTGGTCTAGAGAGGCAACAGTGGTCTCTGAATAACAGAAAATCTCAGACCATTAGTTAGACAGAGGTAGACCTATGTCTAGGAATACAGAAGTCAGGAGAAACAGCAGATTTAGATCCTTTAGAGAAAGAAATGAATAGTGTAGCAAAGATCGGAATGTTTAATTAGTGTTGGTTAAATTTAGGATTACAGTGAGGCAGCAGCTTATGAGAACTTGAGAGAAATGTACAAATGTTTGTTCTATGACCTTTTCTCGAGCGGCCAAAGGAAAACAAAAAGTTACATTTTAAGCTTCATTTACAAGCAGAAAAGAATCACCAGTGTGAGTATGCAACGTCAGTGAGAGATGTGATGTTCCTTCTGCCAGTAATCTTGGAATTCAGGATCACCTCTCCGACTTTTCAGCCAGAAAGAGGACCAAGGAGGAATATCAAAGGGGATCCTAGATCTTTTAGGGCTAAATCTAATGCCTCTGGGTGTAGCTCTCCTGTGAATGAAAGGGAAGGAGGAAGAGAAATTAAGTACCCCACTGGAAGGAAAAAGTGGGATGAAGCCCAGAGGCAGGTGACAGAATCCTATTGTCTGCAGGTGGTCTCAGAACAGAGTTTAAGTTAAAAAAAAAAACAAAAAAAAAAAAAAAAAAAAAAA